GTCACCAGTTGTTTCTGCCCATTTAGCAGGGGTCCTATTCCTCCCTGGGCCTTCCTTTTACTCCCAATATATCTAAAAACCAATTTCTTGTTGTCTTTTACTTGGGTTGCCATCCTCAGCTCCATGGCAGCTTTGGCCCGTCTAACTGCCTCCCTACAAGCACGAGCAGAGGAGGTATATTCATCTTTGGTGATCTCTCCCTGTTTCCACTTTTTATGTGCTCCCCTTTTGTCCCTTAGGCTGCCCTGGATTTCTCTGGTCAGCCAGGGAAGCCTCCTGGCCCCTTTCCCCATTTTGCCTCGCTCGGGGATTGTCTTGCTTTGTGCCCGAAGGATCATTTCCTTAAGGCACAGCCACCCTTTTTGGGCTCCCATCACTTCAAAACTCCTACTCTGCATTGTGTCCTTGACTAATCACCTGAGTTCATTGAAATCAGCTTTCCTAAAGTCTAGCACTTTCACCCTACTAGTTACCTTACCCACTCCCCGTCTTATGATGAATTCTATTATTTGGTGATCACTGTCCCCCAGATGGTTACCGATCTGGAGGTCCCCAACCATGTCATCCCCCGTTGCCAATACCAGATCTAGTATGGCATTCCCCCTAGTGGGACTGTGTACCTCCTGTGTCAGGTGGAGGTCCTGTACACAGGTTAGAAACATGCGTGAGCAGTGGGACTTTGCTGTCTGTGACTCCCAGCAGATGTCCGGGTAGTTTAGGTCCCCCGTGACTACCGCCTCTTTAGCTTTTATGGTCTCCGAGAGTTGCCTCAGAAGCCCCGAACCTCTTTCTTCCCCTTGATGTGGGGGTCTGTAGCAGAACCCTACCACCAAATCCCTTTCTCCTTGCCCCCCATGTAGCCTAACCCACAATCCTTCTACCTCCTCATCCTTGGATTCCGTCTTGCTGAGGGTTGACGTATATTGCTCACTGACATAGAGCGCAACCCCTCCCCCTTTCTTCCCCACCCTGTCCTTTCTGTACAATCTATAGCCCTCAATATGTACTGCCCAGTCATGGGATGAATCCCACCAGGTTTCCGTTAGCCCCACTAAGTCATAGGTGTTTAGTGCAAGCAGGAGCCAGGAACTCATCTGGCCTTGAGGGTTGGATAAATGATGCAGGACTTATCGGCGAGCCAGGGTGGGCCGATAGGCTTCGCGACTCCCACCTCCTCCCAGTTCCAGCACTCACAGCCTTTGCTCTGGCATCTGTGCTGCATGTAGCAGGCATCCTGGAGCAGCTGAGGTGGGTACATGCGTGCAAATCCCAGACCAGCTAGAGTGGATGCCATCCAGACTACGCCACATGCTCAGCCTGTTTCAGCCACTGTGGGATCTGCAACATACACATGTCCCCAGCAGCTGGCCCAGGACTGCACCACACACAGTGCCTGCTCCAACCGCTCCAGGATCCGTGCCTGTAAGTGCCACGTGTACCACAGGTCCTGGACTGGCTGAAGTAGGCACCATATGAGGTGAGGGAGGGCCTCGGGTGGGCGCCATGGGTGCTGTGATTCCTGGAGCAGTCAGAAGAGGTACTGCAGATCACACAGACTCTGCTGCCAGGGCTGGGCTGGATCAGTTCAGACCCAGAAGTAGTACCAGAGGCCAGACAGGATTCCATGGGCCAGATTGAGCTTGCAGGTCAAATGTGTGATAAGCCTGCTTTAGATCTACAGCAGTGTGTGCCATATGCAAGATAACAAAAAGATTAAAGCACAACCACAGGAGAACATTTATGTTCAGGTCACAAAGGTGTATAGAAGAGAGTTGACATTTTGCTGTCTGGAAAATGATGCATAATACGCAAGGTACACATCAAGTTTTTGCCACTCCAAAATGAACAGAAGTTTAAGTCACAACTGCTTAAGCCTAACACTTGATCCTTTAGCTCTTCCTTTCCCTCGCTTTACAAGCACTATTACTCTTCATTAAAAGCAAAACACACAATATGAAACCCACAGTTCCTTTTGAAACCCCGCACCCACAATAACAAGTTTTCAGAGCACTAGAAATCCCTACACAGTCCAGGTGTCTAGCAAAAAAACTACACACGTCATCACAAGCTGACACATGCATTTTGAGCACTGGAAATCATTAACTAATATGATTTTGAGAACTGATCAACAATCAAATTAATACCAACTTATCTACCATATCTCACAATTAAGGAGACACTTATCTTCAGAAGCATCCTGCTTTCCTCAAAACAAGTTAAGGGAGATTTAGCTCAAATCACTTTGACTTGTGCATCCACTGGGGAACAGTATGCATGTCATCATATCCCAACTTGTTTACTCTAGAGAAACAGAGGCAGCCCACGTATTATCCAGCTTGAAAAATGGAATGGATCAAGGGAACCTGTGATAAGACTATGCATCAAAACTCTTGGGTTAGTCATCAGCTAGCCACGTTCTGTAACTACTGGGCCTACATGATACTACTCCTAGTCTAGTACGCTTCAGAAAACTGCAGTTAAACCAAAGTGATCACATTAAAGGCCACAACCTGAAAGCACTGACTTCATGAAGGTCATGTTCAAGATCTAAGGCACCTCTCTCATGCCACTGGAGGGACCCCACTAAGCTTGCCCTTTAAGTGAACTAGCAATAGATTAAGGAACAGGGTGGAAGATTTCACCCCTTCTATCATTCTGAGTTATAATTATTACCTCTCCCCTTGCAAATACCTTTATCCTCTTGATAAATGATTTCTGCCTGCTCCTCCTTTCTGACGTGGGGGTGTATCCTGCCTTTCTATCAAATCTCAAATACCAGCTTGAATAACCCAAAGAGAAAAAATGAATATAAAACAACCAACAAATGTAATGAATAACTTGGCCTACTGTCTAAGCTACATGAATAACTGTAGTATGTGAAGTGATTGTTGTTTATTTTTACTCAATTTTACTGGAGCTTTCAAAAAACTAAAGCTAAAAGAAAGCCAAACTGCTATGGCGCTTTGTCCAAAAAACCCAACTCTTTTCAAGGTTTGATACCTCCTGACCCTTTCACTTTCTTCTTTTTAACGGCACTAGAAGATTTCATTAAAAAATGTAAACTGCAAAAGTTCAGTTGGTAAATTTTCTCCCCCAAAAGGGAGCGTTCTGTTTTTAAAAAGGCAATCCTTAAAACATGAGCAAGTTCTTTAATTAGGATTTTACAAACTAGCACAAATGCAAAACTAATGAGCAGAGAATTAAATTGATGAAGAAAATGCAGACTGCCTCCATTAGAAGCTAAAACAAAATTCAATCTGACGCATGTCCTTCAAATTAGGAGACAGATTGCAGTTTTTTATCTTCCTTTAAAAACAGCCACAGTTCCTTTTCCTTTACAGTAAATAACTAATAGCTCAATTCATAAAAGAAAGTTCCAGGGTCAAGAAACTTTTAGTCAGCTATCTATTTTGTCCATTCTCTGTAGATTCATGCTCATGGTTCAAATTGTGGGCAACCTTTTACAGCATGTTATACAGCAAAAAAGAATAAGCTTCTGGTTACTCATGCAGCCTACTTATATCACACTTCAGAGTGGGTAGGAAAAGTAGCTACACTTCCTTATATGCCCTCGCATAACTGTGCCAGCCCAAAAATGTACACTACACTAGATACAGATGAAACAATGTTTACTGTTCCCAAAGCAGCAACAAGACCCATAGGGAGATTCAGAATCAGTCAGTCGCTCTAGTCAGCTGCTCCTATGACAGCATAAGACCAAGATGCCCCTTATTGACCATGCTTTATGCTCACAAAAAATCAAGTCCTAAGGAAAAAAAAAAGTCAGTAGAACCAAAAGATACCAAGTTAAGCCTTATTTTCAGGAAGCCCAATCATTTTTTGATAAAAATATCCAGAAAATAAGGGGATAAAAATGGCGTCACTTTCAAAACAATATCTTTAGAAGAATTTAAATGAGTATAACTTCAAGTAAACTAGAATTTTATAACATGAGGTTTCTGGAGGTTTTCCACATTCCACTTGCCCAATTTTCTTGGAAGAAACAGCTTTCTTACACTGTAATAGTTTCCAGATACCATTCCCTGCACAAGTAGAAGCACAATGGTTTGTACTACAGAATACAAAATTTATTTTGGGACTTGACCAGACAGCTTGACAGAAGCCACACCACTTTGATGTGGAACATGAGGCAGCAAAGATTTTTTTTTGGTATTTTTTTTGGTTTTTTTGTCAGGTGGAAGAGTTATGCATATTGCATTTACTGTCAGCAGGTAGACACCCTCCAGCACCCCACTCACAATGGAGGAAAAGTTAAGAAGAAAGAGAAAAAGGAAAGGTAACAATATGGGAAACGAGTTGCAAAATATTACGATGCATAAATTGGGTAACACTTACGATCAAGTCCATTGATGTATCTCATGGTAATTTCACAGTGCCCCCAAACCGCACTGACTATAGGGTAAACTTTTTTCCCTTTCAGTCCCCTGAAGGCCACTCCAAGATACTGTCCATCTACCATGAAGCTAAGCGTCCCTTCATCCATATCCAAAACCACCAGTAAGGTGTCTGGGAGTACAAAAGGCTCATCCGGTTCCAAAAAGACAGGATATGTCACCCCAGGTTGGTTTTTACAATTGTGATAAAGTTTGTTCCGTCCCAGATCCCAGCCCCAGGATTCACTATTGCTACCAACCAACGATGTGTATCCTACAGAATGCAAGGGAGCTTCTGCTGTTGACACACCCACCACAGCATGTGTTCCTCGTTGCCTTGTGGGCCAGTGAATTTGCCAGACATGTAGACCTCTGGTGTAGCCAACTTTGCCCCGGATACAATCTGTGCTTTGGGCAACTGGATGTCTATGAAAAGTGAGTTTGTCATCTTCCTTTACAAATATATTTAAAGAGCGATCTTCATTATTCCAAGCATGTTTATACTGCACCTCCAGTTTGGCAGGGGGCATATCCAGTAGCATGTCCAGACGTGCAGGCTTGCAAAAGTCAGGGCCCCTCAACTCTCGTTTAACAGGTCTGTAAGGGGGCTCCCTCACATCCACAGACTTTATGCTCCCTGAGATTTTCTGGCCCATTGCTTGGCTGCAGATTCACAAAGGAGAAAGAAAAGGTGACTTTGGCCCAATGTTACCTCATGAAAGCACTTTCACACTGAGTCAATGACTTGACAACCAGATGGGATTTACTTCTCGTGTTTGCAGCTTTTGAGCAGCAGTGTTTTCAGAAGAGACGCACACTCCTGAAAGAAAGCAAAGCATTTCCAGTTAAAGTAAGAAAGCCAGTTGAAACCCACAAATTGTCTCAAAGTTTGATCCCTGCTAGGTTATTTTAGACACTGAGCACTGACAAGTCTCTGCTTTTTATTCCGTGTCCTAGGAGTCCTATCCAGACAGCTGGCAGGATATTCAGAGCCCACCAACATTCAGAGTACAGACAGTAATTTCCTCCAATTCATAATAGGATGCAGAAATCCTCCACCTTCTGCCCTTCCACCCATTTAGTTTAGCCAGGCTACAGTGTCTTGAAAGAGGCACACAATATTCCTCAGCAATAAAGATTCATTTTACATATTCAACAGTATATCCACTTATCTTTTGGTTTCATTTTCTCATGTTTTGTCAGAGCCCCTTTCTCTATGCATTCCTCTCTGCATATGCTCTTTTAATTTAAGGCTTTGTCTTGGAACAGATGGAATGCAACCAGAACAAATGGCACTGATAGCAAACAGCTTTGAAATTTGATTGCTTACCTTTAAGGCACTTGTGTTCACTTTATTTATTGGAAAACTGACAAACTTTATTTTCACTAAGGAGTTTGTTGGGGGGGGGGAAGGGGGAATGACAGAGAGAAGCAATGATGGAACAAGAATGGAAGCATATGGATGCAGGATCGGTGTTCTCCAATCTATTGGAACTTAAGCACTGTGGTTTCAGTTCTTTAGTAGAGCTCATTTCTGGGGATACCTGGCTCAGAACACAAGATCCTACCTAATGCTGCAGCAGATTTTTAAAATCCAAACAAAAGAAAGATAAGCACTAAAAGGGACGCATGCCTAGATTTCAGTTTGGAGAATACTGTCTCTATACACATACAGAGCATCTCAAACTAAAAGAGCCTGAAAACCTCCAGGACCGGTTATGACTTGTATTTAGTGGCCCTTTCCAAAGGCCTATAGGAAGCATTCATTCTGAACAAGATGCCTGACAAATCACAAACATTCATCTTGAGAGCACTTAGAGTGCAAAGCAAGATACAAGTGTTAGTCCCCATGGACTTAGGGGATGACTGATGTGGGATCAAGCAATGGGTCTGTTGCAAGTGCTGGCTCCCAGCAACTTCCTGGATCAAAGCTTCAGATTTCTGTTTCACCCACAGCAGAAGAGCCAAGTCAGCTACTAACCTAAGAGTAGGAATGCTGCTAGCTGGGGAGACTCCAGACTGTTTGTTTGGTGACAAATGTTTCCAAATGTTTAGGGAAAAAGAACTGATATGCTGCCAGTTTTCTCAAGCTCTGAAGAGTGCAGGTGACACTATACAGTATAGTCATTTTATAAAGCCTGAAAAGTCATCTTTGAAAAGCATCAGAGGGGAATGCATCCATGTACATGCCTGTGCTCACATGAGCCCATAAAGGTTATGTTGGAATCTTAGTTTTATAAATAGGTAACAGCAGAGCTGAAAAGTTTGCTTAATGAGTACCCACAGAGTTAGTCTAACAGTTTGTTGAGAAGTTGTTCATAGTATTCTGTATAGACACTTTTTACACCATTATAACAGTTTGTCTGTACTAAACATTTGCTTTCCAAACAACTGAAACCATGTATTCCTAAAACTGCCTAGGTACTATTAACACTTATTTACCAGGGTTTCCACATTCAATACTCCTGCAGTCTAACTCTGAAAAGCTTTCTGAAAAGACAAAGCTCTGCACTATGCCTCAGCAGCATGAAGCTGAGGTGCTGGAGAAAGTTGTATAGGGCTGTGCGAAACAGCCATGTTTCGTTTTGGTTTTAAATTCGGCCATTTCAGAGGACAGTGATTCATTTCAGTGTTTCAGATCACTGTTCTATTTTGATTCAGCCAAATCAGTTTTGGAGTTTCAACGCTGTTTTGGAGATTCGGATCAGCCAGGAGGAGGCAGGCACAGTCAAGAGGCTGCAGGTTCTCCCGCGGTTACTCTGGCTGTGCCTGCCTCTGCCCCAGTTGGGAGGAGCCATCAGAGAAGCCCCCATAGATGCCTGCCCGGCCCCCTCCCCTGCCCAGCCCGAGACTTCCAGCACTTTAAAAGGAGGGCTGTGGGGCTGTGCTGGACTATTCCCAGGGGACGCCTCTGAAACATCTGAAACATTTCCAAAACGTTTTGGATGGTTTGGTTTTGTATCGGTGCCTTCCGTTTCATTTCGGATTCGGTTCACTTCGCCTTCAATTCACTCAGAAACGGCTGCCGAAATTTCACACAGCCCTATTGTATAGTGCATTACCTCAGTGCCTAACAGCTGGAGATAAAGACCTAGCCCATTATGGTAGCACTACCTTTCCTATTACATACAAAACACAGCATATGGATTACGTAGAAAGACAAAGTACCAAGAACTCAATTATTCAAGAATCATTTAACTAGCAATGGTTGAACCAATTCTGTTCTCCCACCCCCCACAACCCACACACCTAGAATAATTGCAATTCACAAGCGGTAAGTTAGATATGGGAATTCCAAGGGTGTCCAGTAGTCTATTTTTGACAATAGTGCCAAAGTTTTACAGTTTCATTTATCAGCATATCACAAGATGATGTAACAGAAATTTAAAAATATGTACTCAATATGTATATGTACTCAATATGTATAGCCTTTCACATAAGGATATATGAAATAACATTATTGTATAAGACTAAGAAAAATAAGAGTGGTGATAATGAAGCATATCAAGATGTTGCTGATAGTTTCAAATTTAAGACAGGGTATGCAGACAGCAAGTATGTGGTGACAGAATGATGCTACTCCAGAGACAAAAATTAGCTAGGGAAACCAACCATGATAGCTTGATAGGCTTTCTAGGTTCAGACAAACCATGACTGACTAACTTAGAAATTAAAATTCCCGACTAATGTTTTTGCCTATGCATAGTGCCCTTCACACCAAGGAGTTTAAGTGCTTTTCAGACTACAGTATTGAAAGAATGATGTTATAGCCATGATTGTCAAACTGCACAGAGGGCCCCTGGCCAATGTGCAAGTAAAGGAGACATAGGATCTGATGCATGATCCCCACAACTGTGCTTCCCACCATGCCACACATGCATGGCAGGACATGAGATCGTGGCATCAAGCATCAGATCCCATCACACCTAATTGCGGGTGCAGGCAGAGCCCAGGCTTCTCCTGTATGAGCAAGTAGCAAGCTCCTGTAGCTAGGAGCCCTGGCCTGACCACACATTCAATTAAAGATGCAATAGGAATCAGCCACAAAGTTATTAAACAGTTTGTGTAATAACTGTGGTTTGTTCCTTGTTCTATCACACCATTAACTGATTGAATGTGTGGCCAGGTATCAAATTTGAGACATGATTAACTGGTTAATCATGTCTTAAGTGTAATGTGTGCCAGGGGTCATACAGAACAAATACTGAAGAGCAGTTGCTATTAGGATGCAACCTCCAACTACTGGTCTTAAAACAGCACTGTCTTAAAGAAGTGCACTCTATCACTAGCTGAAACTGTTACATGTTTTTGACCAAAATTAAAGTGTCTCCATAGATGCACACAATTAAATAGTTATTTTTATGAAAAAGCAGCAGATGTCTTCCAAAGCCATGGGTCCATTCAGAGCCCTGTCAGTCATGGGCCTGTGCACTAGATGGGTCCATGCAGGGTGGTGTGGAGCTCTGATTTCAGTATGTGGGGGTGGGCAGAGGCCCCAATTCATTCTGTGAACTAGCTTGACGCCACTTGCTTAGCCTGTGAAGCCAAGAGGCTGAGTGGGTCTGTTCTAAGTATGTCGTTCTTCAGCTCATGTATGAACACAGGAAAGCTTTTGTAATGCAGAACAGCCAAAACAATGATTAGCTTTACTTAATTCTCAAGTTCTTGCTTTGGGAACAGCACTGGCATCTCACTTGGAAGTGTGCATGCCTTGTCAAGGATGACCAAATATCACTTCCTACCACACAAGTGTTCCCTGTTGTGCTGCCAGTCATCTGCAATTTTCTATATTTACTGAAAAAAATAAAGTAGGCTGTCTCCCAAACCTGTTACAATTTGCAGTCAATGACATAATCCAGAAAAATCCTAATTTATTCTTGCTTGGTCTTCAGCACACATCAGTGAATACAATAAAGAGGAATATCAGCAGTAAAATGTCAACTCCATTGCTCAAGCTTACTCACTACACAAAATAAACCTGAAAAACAGCCATAAAGATTTGTGGATACTGTAAATATTGACATATAAAACCATAAAAAGGAGTTGGGTAAATAAAAAGCTGCTTATTCAAAGAAGATGCCAAATTCTACCCTTACATAGATACATTCTGACTTCCATGTGAATTGGGAGTATATATGAGAAAGCAGAAGCTGGAATAATAAAGTGTTTACTTTATACGTCAAAATGTACTAGTGGGCTTTGGGGAATTAAAAATATTGCTTTTTTTTAACTGTCAATCTCACTGTTAGAATTAATATTATCAATTAAATGATTTCCCCAGGAGCCTTCTATTCAAGTACTGAGCAGATTGATTCTATTTAGTTTCATTATTAAATGTGTCTATTTACATTAGTTTGGAGATGTACAGAAGTAGTAGAATGGGTTGAATGTCAAGGGCATAAAGGGCAGTTTGAAACAGCAATAATTTTTCTACGGGAAATTGGATCTTATCTTAGAGACAATCAAATGCACAAATACAAGTTAAATCTACAAGAATATTGTGACAGGAAAGGTGAAGAAAGGGAGGCAATTCCTCTCTGTTGCAGTGTAGCCATCCAAATGTGTATGTACAATGCTGCTGCTTGCAGTCTCTGAGGAAAACAGTGGGATTTAACAGAGCAGACAGTGGAAAACTCAGAGGCATGTTACTCGGGTAGGCTTAATGCATCAAAATGTATAAGTTATAAGTGACAAATCATAAATGTGGAGGAATAGCTGTGTCGATATAAGTACCTTATGTATCCACACCGGGGGGGGGGGGGGGGGGGGGGAGAGAAACAAGTGTAAGACTAAAAACAGACATGGATTTATTTCTCCAAG